TTCCAATAAATCATCTCAATTAGTAGCTAATTAATTGAAAAGTCAATGAAAACAATAATATACATCCAAGAGAATAAACATACTAATTGAGAAGATGAATCTTGAAATCTTAAAATCTTAAATCTCTTCAATGGTTTTTAGATGAATCTCTACTTGTGCCTTCTCTTCTTTGCCCAAAAATTATGTTTGAATTTTCACTTGATTGAATTCTTACAAATCACATTCAATTCTCTCACAAAACTATGCATTCTTTCTGCTTTGATGATAATAATTGATGAATATTATAGTAAAATATGCATATGAGAGGTCCTCCATATGTATTCTACTGTCAGGTATTTGTATGAGTAGAAAATTAGTTGAAAATCATGTCCAAGTTGGTTTCCAAAAGAGTTCCAATTGAATAAGGAAAGTTTCATTCGCACGCGGATTTTTTGTTTCTGCACACCAGTTAGTATTTTGGCCATAAGTTTCTCTCTCGATATTTGATTTAGGCGATTCAAAGTACGTTGGAAAGCTAATATAAAGGGATACAACTTTTCTAGAAATATAATTTTTCCAATTCGAACGTTTACTTTGCCAAAAAATGGGTTTCAATATTAGACTAAAAATCTGGATATAACTTGTGCGATTGAAAATTGATTTTAATAATATTTTGATCATATTTCATTCATTTTTGAGTTGTAATTCTACGTAATTATCTTCTAAAATATTCAAAGTGTCTTCTTGTATCCGAATCAATTATTGAATAATTACAATTTGGTCTTCAAATTTTGAATTTTGTCATTTTCACCAATTTTCACTTCTTTCTTTTGATTCGTTGTTTAACCATTGAATTTTACGTATGTAACATAAAATATAACAATTTAGAATATATTTTGTCAAAAAAATATCAAATATCGCTATTTTAGACCTCGAATAAGTGTATAAAATACACTTATCACTCTCCTCCAAAAAGAAAGCTAGCGTATTCCTTTCGAACACGTAAGAAAACCGATAGTCTTGAAAAGTCCAAGAAATGTTGTGAAACGCGAAACCACACTACACTCGCACTCAAATTGAGTTTTGTACTTTTGGGGGGTGAGGGAGGGACCAGAACGTCTGTAGTAAGAGTCAAAATGCATGGAAGAATTTCTCACTTTACTTTAAAAGTTCAATAGCATGGTTCAGAGAAATAAATATATATGAGAGTACAAAGATAAATGCTTAAACTGCTGTACAGAAAGAAAAGAATAAAAAATGAAAAATTGGAGGTGTCGTGGACGACTGTGATAAGAGTTTCTAATATTGTGAATATGCATTTATGATCTTGAGATTCTTCTGTTGGGACTTATCAATACATATACGCACATTTATCATATACCATCTCTCCCAGTCCCTCCTCCTCCTCTCTCTCCCATAATAAACTTAGAACTCTTCTCAAATTCGCCTTTTCTTTTTCTGGGATTACGTTTTCTTCTGTAATTCTCTTGAAAAACCTGTTTTTAAGAGTTCTTGCTGCAGTTTTTCCTGGGTATATCGTCTATCTCTACTAAGAAACTTAAAACTCTTGTAAATATCTTTTTTTCTTAATCTGGGATTACACTTTCTTGTGAAAATTTGTTGTAAAAACTGTGTTTAGTGTTTTTTATGCAAGTTTTTTTGTTAATGGGAAAGAAGAGAGAGAAAGAGGGGAGAGAGAAAAAGAAAGGTAGAAAACCACGCTGTGAGAAACAGGAAGTGAGAAAAGGTGCATGGACTCCTCAAGAAGACAAAATTCTTGTTGATTTCATCTCAAAGAAAGGTCATGGCACTTGGCGAGATCTCCCTAAACAAGCAGGTTTAAGTTACTTTTTCTTACTTTCCTATTAATAAGTAACATATTTTCAATATATTGATTTTAAAAATTACTTAGCCCTTGTCTTGCTTTTTTTTAAAAATTTTTTTTTATTTCTTTCTCCTTAAATTCTTAATCGTTCTAATTTTTAAAAGGATTCTGATGGAAAGCTTTTAATGCCACTACTAACTAGAAAATAGGTGCTTAAAACTGGTAATAATGGCAGTCTTTATCTCCTAAAAATAAGATGGTCTGCCTTTAAAAAGTGGGGGTAATTGCCAGATTATTGAAAACTGTACATTTATCTCCTCATCTGGGGTCACTTTCTTGGATTTATTGGTATTCCATACTCGCCAAGAGACTCTTTAAACATAAGACGTTCTATATTTTAAAGAGTCAACCCTGAAATTACGCGAGACTTTAAAAATTAATATATTAATTTACCAACTCTCTATAATTAAATGAATTCAAAGTATTTCAATTTTCAATTATGGAAAACAATATAAAAGATAGGTAAAAATAATAAATATTTTTTTAGGTAGTGAAATTAAGTGTTAAATATAAAGACTATGTTGGAGTACTTAAAAATTTTTACTCTCTAAATTATAAAATATGCTCTTTAAAAATAGAGATTCTTTTAGCCTCTGTTTGGTGCACATTTTTTCCTCAAGATTGAATTTTTTTTTATGTGAAGGAAAATATTATTTTATTGAAGAAAGTGTGGTTAAAAATGAATAGAAGAATGAGAATGAAAAAATAATGTGACTCAAACAGGGACTTAGAAATGCTTTTAGATTGGCTAATATTCAGTAGTCCTCTTCTTCAAATTGATCAGCCATTCTAAATGATGAATATGGTAAAATGACCATATTTTTCCTCCAAGCTTTGACTCTTAAGAACTAAGGAGGAATCTCTTGCTTATGTGACAATTTTAGGTCTCCTTCGGTGTGGAAAGAGTTGTCGTCTTCGTTGGGCAAACTATCTTCGACCAGACATTAAACGAGGTCCCTTTAGTCCCGAGGAAGAGAATACTATTATTCATCTCCAGGGCATGCTCGGTAACAAGTAATTAACTTTGTATAGTCTCTTCTTTTCAGTAGTTTTATATCAACAAAGGGCCTATTATTTTGTCCAAGGTTTCCTTGCATCTATACAAATCTTTAGCCTTTCAAATGCTGCTTATCTAATGAACTTCACCAGAAAAAATTATTTTTCACTGATTGATAATTTCCTTCAGATGGGCTGCTATTGCTTCTCATTTACCTGGAAGAACGGATAATGACATCAAGAATTTGTGGCACTCGCACTTGAAGAAGCATTTCAGCAGCGTATGCAGTCCCCATCCGGCCTCTTCTGAGATGGTTATGAAATCAGAATCCCCATCAGAGTGGGAGAATGTTAGAGTCGAGACTAAGTCGAGTCTTTCTGCGAATGCATTGCTTCTCAATAATCCATCATTGAGATATAAATCCGATCAAGGCGACTATTTCATCCGTCTATGGAATTCTGAGGTCGGAAGATCATTTCAAAACATAAACAAAAATGTAGAACCTATTAACTGCAAGACCAAAGCAGAAGATATGACAACAGCTTACTTAGACTCGTCGAAATCATATGAGAATGATGATTCTTCTGATGCCATGTTGAAGCTACTACTAGATTTCCCAGTCGGGGGAAATGATACGGAATTCCTGCAAGGACTTGTCTAGTCTAGTAACATGTGCTATATATATATTGAAGACAATCATGTATGTGAAAACCTATAGCTGATAGCTTGTATAAGCAGTTTTCACCTGATGAGCAAAGTTGGACTTGTTTATAAGAAATTACTTCTCTAAATGTCATGTTAGAAATTTTACTAGTTGCAATACAGTAAAGTGCAGAAATAAAAATTTATCAACTGATCGAGTCTCGTGACAGCACAATATCCTAAAACGAAATTGTCCGTTGATAACTGCTGCGACCTCTGTG